TATAATAAACTCTAGAAACTTAACTCGCTCGATATAGAATTAATATTTCTTTAGATTAATATATAGTTAAAACTAGCGTAAACGCTTAAGTATTTACTTAATATATCGCTAATACTTCGCTAACTTAGTATTATAAATTAGAATATTATCTAAATATATTACGTATATTATATTTATTAGACTTATAAGAGCTTTATTAATATACGCTTAAAAAGTTATTAATATATTAACGAGTCTAAAAGATATAATTAAATATTCGAAGTAGCTATAGCGACTACGAAACGCTATTTTTCACTTATCGCCTTCTTTAATTCAAATTTAATAATAGATATTTTTAAGATTTAGCTTTATAAAGACTTTAGCGTTATATAAGCGATCTAGAGTCTTAATAATTAGAGATAGCGAGTATCGATTTTTAATAGTTATCGCATTTAGGCCTCGATAATTAATATAAAAATAAAGCCCTTTATTCTTTTTAGAAATAAAAAGAATCGATATTTCGGCTAAGAAAGTTAAGTAACGAATTTAGTTTTTCTAAAGAGAATTCTCTAGATAGCGTTATAGCTTCGCTAACTTCGTTTAAGATAGATTATATAAAAGATTATATAGCGACTTCTTATCGCTCTTAATCTTAATAATATAATCCCCCTACTTAAGCGTAAGTAAGATTTCTACTTTTTTATTAAAAAAAACGTCGTTAAACTCTAGTAACTTCTAAGAAAGCTTTAGACTACGCTCGTTTTCCGATTCGCTTCGCATTACTATAGTATATATAATTGCGAATATATTTAACTTTTATTCGATAGTTTAGATAAATTTAACTAGTTCTTTAATCTATAATTTATTAGCGTTAATCTTAAATCGCTATTACTCCGCCGTTAAGTCTAATAGTACTTATAATTAACTTAGTTTAAGTATATCTAATACGATATTAAGGCCTTTTTAATTAACGATATAAAAGAGTATACTATACTTTCTATTCTAATTCTAGCTATTTACTAACTAATAATTTAGCTAATACGCGTTATAGTAATATATACTTTAGTTACTTAGCGCTTTCGATTATAGTAAAATAACGTTATAAGATTTTAAGTTCTATTAAATTACGAACTTTTATAAAATTAAATTAATATATACTTTAGTGTCGAGTAGAGTAACGAGTTACCTCTATTTATTTTAAAGCTTTATTTATCTCTTTATAAGAATAGAAGAAATTATCTTTATTAATCGTTATTCTTACCTCGCTTCTAAGGCGGTTATGAGATTAAATCTTTTTTTATTAATACTACGCCGATATAAGCTATAAGCGATTTATCGAGATCTAAATACTTAGATATCTAATAATTCTATTTTCTATAATAGAAATAACTATCCTTCTTATAATTAGAATTAAAGGATTCAACTTTACGCTTTACGTTATCGTCTTAAGTGCGCGCTATATAAGCGCCGCCGTTTAGAGCTAATTTAGGCTTCGAAATTCGATTCTTTAGAGATTTATTCTTAGCGGATCCCCTTAAAAACTTCGAATAAGAATCGTCGCCGAAGCGTACGTATTTTAAAATCTTTTTCTATATAATAGCCTAAGTAAGAATTTCTTTTTATTATTTCGATATACTATTAATATTTAGAATCTTATTTTTAAGCTCTAATTTAAGCTTAGCTAAGAAGAAATTAGCTTAATACTTCTTAGAAAATAAGATTATATAAACCTCTAGCTTCTTTAGATAAGTCTTAAAAATAGATATTTTCTAATCGAAGCGTTATTTAGTCTTCTTTTACTTTTTATAAGCGAGAAGATAGCGGTTTATTGGATCCGCTACTAAATTAAGTAGGAACTATTTAAAGAATTTAAAAGTTATATCTCTTAGATTATAGATTTAATAATATCTATATTATTAAGTATTAGGGTCGCCTTCTAAGGATTATATATAATAAATAATTCTTAATTAGTTAATAATGAAATACTTAGAATTTATAAGGAACTTGATTTCGATTTCGCGGAATTAGCGTAGGTGCTTTCTTTTATTAATATTCTTATAAGAATATATTCTTTTAGAGCGAAGTATTTTCGTCTTAATTAATATATTTATTAGAGGCGCGATAGTAATCGATATAGATAGATCTTCGCTAGTCGTAGATGATAAGCTAGTATTATAAAGCTCGCGATTGTAAGCCTTTAACGTAGCTAATTCTTATTCTTATTCTAGATAACAATTTTCGGCCTTAGTAATTATAAGATATTCTTTTATAGTAAGATCTTTTACTGATAAGAAATTCTCGAACTTATTATTAACGCTATAACGGCTCTCGATATTATCTTCGTTTTCTACTATATAATCTAGAGGTAAACCCAATATCGTAATAATAATAGGCCTTTTCCTTTAAAAGATAGAGAGATTAGAATTATAAAAGCGTAGTTTATTAGCGATTAGCTGATGGATATAGGCTATAAAAGACGTAATATTATTATAGAGTTTAATAGTATATTTAATAGTAGAATTAATCTCTAAGAAATATTAAAACTTCGAGATATATAAAGTAGATCTATGTTCGCTAAGCCCCTAGGTATATAAGATATATTATTAAAATTAAACTCTAAAAGGGACTCTAATATAGAATATGCGATGTCGGCGCCTTAGCGTAAGTAGCGTTAAGATCTATAACGTATTAGGTTTAATAGATATTAAGAGAAGAGATTAATAGAGCTAAGATCGAATAATAAAAATATAAATATATATTATTAGTCTTTATATATATTATATTAACTTTAACGCGATTATAGCGATAAAAAAGCGTATTAATAACGATTTTTCTTCTTAGATAATTAACGCTTATAAAATATATTATAAATAATAATACTCTTATCTTTAATAGAGAAGATAGATTACTCGATATAATAATATAAATTTATATATATAAATCTAATATCTAACGATAGTATTATTAAGTTAAATCGAATCGGGCTTATAATATAACTAAGTTAAATCGAACTCGACTTATAGAGTTAAATCGATATCGCGAATTATAAAAATAATAAAATATTAGTATAAGATAATTACTATTTCTAAAAAAATTATTCGAATAGTATATAGTAACGAGTAAAGGCCTATGAATTAAATTCATAATCATTTTTTTTTAATCGGGGCTATCGTCTAAATTTTGGTAAGCGATATTTAATAAGCGATATCTAAATTCCTTACCTTTAAATATCTATAAGACTAAATTTAGTAATTCTTAATTTATCTAAAAGCCCACATTATACTCTATAGTTTAAACCAAAAATTCTAAAATTTTAATAGAAAACAAAAAAGTTATTCTAAAATCAAATAATGTACACCTGTTTTTTGATTAGGGCTGTCGAGCGAACTTTTGAGCGGACTTTGGTGAGCGATATTTGAATTCCTTGCGCTTTAATAATTATAGAACGAAATTTCAAAATTCTTAAAAATTCGGAAAGCGCAGACTGCGCTCCAAAATTTAAAATTTAAAATCTCAAAAAGTTAATAGAAAATAAAAAAGTTATTCTATATGTCAATAATGTACACCTATTTTTTTGATGGTCGCGGACGCTAATTTGTTTACCCGCGGTGTCTAACCAAAAAGCGTAGACCTGACGAATTGATGATTGGCTGCACATATAAATTCAAGGTTTTCTAGTTCAGCCCTACCTTATTCTGTTATATATACTAATTATTAAATTAATAGATATTATTTAAATAATATATAGTAATTATTAAATTAATAAATATTATTCGAATAGTATATAGTAATTATTAAATTAACGAATAATATTTTAATAGTAAATAGTAATTATTAAATCGGCGAATAGCGTATAAAAAGTAAACTATAATTACTAATTAGACGGAATTTAAATAGATTTTAATTAGATTTATTAATTCGACGAATTTTATAATTTCCGCGACTAACGCGCGATTAGCAATTTCAAATTTTATAGAAACTTTTTAGATTTACAGATATATAATAGCTTAAATAACTCGTAAAATAGAGTTTAATATAATAATTTAGAAGAAAGATATTATTTACTCTTATTAGACTCGAAATAAAATTACTATATATAAGAAAACGAAGATTATAAAGATTTTAAAGGCTTTAAAGTAAATAAATATCTAAGAGTCTCGAGTATATAATATACTTAGAAATAAGAAGATTAAGTAGTTTAAGGCTATTATAATAAGAATTAAATAGTTAATTAAGATTAAAAGAGCTAGAGAGGCTAAAATAGATGATAATAGTTTATAGTATATATATATGTGGGTGAGTAGATAAAATAATTGAAAAAATTCGTATTGGGGCGGCCTTAGCGTTGGGGTGGCCCATACTAAGTGTAACGTGTTCCCATACGATTAATTGAGATACTCGTGCGTTCCAGAAGTGAGCTACCTGACAGAGCGAGGACACTAATGAATCTTTTTACTTAATGTGGTGGGATCTCGCTTGATCTATCCGTGTCCTCGCTCTGTTAAGTAGCGCACTTCTGGAACGCATGAGATACATTCGTTATTGTTGGAAACATGGACGATGTCCTCGATGAACACGAGGGTTTTTCCCCATTCCCATGTGGGGGTATCGGATCGAGTGCGTTCTTCTTCTCCTCCACCAGATGGTTAATGAGATAGAGAAGAAAAAATTAAAGAAAAAGAGGGGGGGGGGTGTTCAGCTATTCGGATCCTGCAAAGTTGTGATTGAGACGTATCGAAGGGCTGACGATTTGATTTTTAGATTTGATTTTGGGGGAAGAATGGGTTCGACTGATATATTTCTATGCGGACAGGCATGGAACATGAATAGCGTTTGGGGGTATCAAATACGCAGTCCGATCGAAACAGATTCCAAAAAGTGCAAAGCCTTTCAAAAGAAGCAAGCAAGCAAGCAAAGCAATATGTACATGCTCGTCTCGTTGTCCATTACCGCTCTAGTGTGATATTCGACATGTGCATTCGCCAACCCTTTATTTCAAACCATCTGGTCCTACTTCCATTTCACAGATTGCTCAATATCCTCTCGAGCTCCGCTTTCCTCGCGGGACGACCTGCTCCGTGGCTTTGGTCGTCATCATCGCCCTTGAACCACGACTTCCTCTTCTCCGCCGCATCTGTATGAGCAGTACTCCGTGGTGCGCTTGTTCGTGCGTTTAACCCAGGTCTCACCCTCGGCTCAAGTCCAGACCTCAAACCCTTATCTTGCATCTTTCGCATCGGTGGAAATTGACCCCTGTATCCGGGGAAGAGCAATGGAATGGAGGGAGCGGCAGTTCTCGAGATGGACACTGGGACTGGCGGTTTGCCTTGTGTAACTTCAGAGTAAAGGACGGCTTTGGGAGTGGGCGTTGATCGTAGGAATGAAAGTAGTGACATTCTGCTTTCTTTTTTGGGCATTCTAGCTTGGTATGATTCAGCAATGGCGTGGGATATGCGTCTGTTCAAGCCAATGGGTGGAGGAGCCGCGGAGTCGAAGGACGAGGCACGAGATGAGACCCGTCTATCACGTGAGACTGGTTTTCCAAGTCCTGGTTGACTGGCGCGGAAGGAGGCTGGCCCGGCATGGGGGTTTTCGTAGCGAGGTGAGACTGGGGTTTCGATTCCTAACTGGGTGGCACGAAAAATGGCCGGGCCGGCGTTGTGGTCCTCGTAAGGTAAGACATTAAAGTCAATCTCTGAAGGTAGAGACTCAAGATCTGCGTCCTCGAAGTATTCCCTGTCTCTAGACTGGCTGAACGACACCCGCCGGGGAGATGTCATTGTCTCACTAAAATTAGAGAAAGACACAGATTGGGGAGACATGGTTGCGTTGGTCGAAAATCTCCGTGGAGAAAACGTTGGAGAATGCAAAGCCGTGCCTTCTCTCGAGTTGGTCGGGGAATCCATAGCTGAAGAGGTTTCCGGTCTTGGAGGCTCCGAAGGGAGGTAAACAACCGACGAATTGGTCGATCGTAAAATGGATCGCTGTCGTGAAGGGCTGCGCCTTGCGCTACGTTGTGGGATTGGTGGAGGTCTTGTCCTTTGGAGTTCTTCCGCCCGTTGTGTCAGCGAGAAGCTTTTGCTCGAGTCCGGCGTCGCCGGGGGGAAGGTGGGCGTTCAGGAGGAAATCCATGAGTTTCAATCAAGATGTTGTCGTAAGCGCCTTCGCTGGTAGGTAGTAGTATTCTGTGCTGCGAAGCAAATGTACCTGGAAGCGCTGAGGGCCGATCCCGGCGTGATCGAGGGCTATGCTCGAGCGACGTGCTCCTGGGAGTATATCTTTGAGCATTTGCTGAGTTCGTTTGACGTGGATTCAATCTCCCCGTGTATGATGATGACAGTTGAGGTGAATAGATCTGCGAATCAGTCGAAGGATTCCGAGTGTGCTCCGACTCTTGGATGAATTGTTCCAAAGATAGCTGCTGGGTGCTCAGAGAACGGCGAGGTTGGCGCTCTTGTGCAGTGTTCGGATCAATGGATTGTCTCCGGCTGTGCTGTGTTTCCTTGATACACTGATTCAGAGATAATTGCCGAGGGCCCAAAAGAGGTGGATTTTGGCGATCTCTTGCATTTTGTGAATCAATCGACTGTCTCCGGCCGTGGACTGATCCCTGCATAATCTGGGGTCGACGCCCAGAAGAGGAGTGCTGCGTCCCCCAAGAGGGGCGACGTTGGTGGTCTGATGTTAGAGAAGACGACTGCAATCGCTGTATATCCAATGAAAGACGATCCTGGTCATCCTGGGATGGAGTAAGCAAGGCGGAGCGGGCTTTCACGGAGGAACCACCTCGACGGTCTTCTGTCGCAGCAGGAGTTGACTGTGAGCCCTGCGTTGCTATGGAGAAGTAATCTTGGATTTCTCGAGCAGAGGGAAACAAAGGCGAATTCTGCGTCCCAAAAGGAGAATGGGCTTGGCGACTTTGTAAGAGCGTGGGCGAAGCTAGGGCCTGAGTCTTCTGTGCGAAGTTTTGTCGGCGGTCTCGTGTTGGAGAAGGCAAATAGGCACGCTGAGTCTCCGATGGAAAGCGCCCTTGGCGGTCTTCTGTGAATATAGGAGGTGGGGAAGTCTCCGGGGACCCCATCGAGAATACATGCTGGCGCTCTTCTGTGAATGATGGAGGCGTGGGATAGGACTCATGTGTCTCTACAGAGATTAGGTCTTGGCGTTCCCGTGTGGGTGGAGGCGGTATGGTGGCCTCGGGAGCATATATCTGTGTTTCGACAGAGGAGCTTTTGTGGTGCAAAGATGGCCTAGGGTTTCCAGGACGAAGGGGAAAAGGAGTCCCTAGACGAAGCCGCTCTAGGGATGAAGACTCGGGATTGGGACGGTGTGGAGAGGATAGTTCGTAATGTGCATGCTCTGAAAGCGTAGGCTCGAGCTCGGGAGGTGGCGAAGGCCGGGTTTCTATTCGAAAACCGAAGGGAGACTCGAGGCGAAGCTGGTCTGAGGGTGGACGTGACGGTTCGGAAGACGTCGACTCGAATCGGGGAGGGTCTGAAGGTGTTGATTGGAAAGATGGAGGACGTTTACGGGTAGAAGTCCTGTAATCGTACGAAGGCTCTGGTTCGGGGTCAGGCTCGAGACGGAGATAATCCGAATACACACAACGTTGAGTCGAGTAGTTTGAGGAAGAGCGAATTGACGATGCAGTGGAGTGAATATGGGATCTGGAATTGCGTGCAGGGGGAGTCTTCAAGGACAGAGGGCGATCGGTGTTGTTGATGATGCCCCGATACTGTTGTTGAGAGAGAACAAGTCCATGTGAATACTTGTTAGGCATGGTGAGTGAAAAGAGAAGAAAGAAGGAAGAAGGAAGCCGGAAGGAGATTGGAAAGATGGTTTCGACGCCTACAGCGAACCCTTTAAGGAAGGAAGGAAGTCAAGATGCAAGAGTTGGACCCTACGGAGCTGTCTTGCGCGTGTCACAGCTCGCTTACATGCATCAACATAGTTCGTGCATGAACAGTGCTGCAATCGAAGGTTCTCATGTCGGACAAACTGCAGTAGCCTGTCAGTCAGAGTCAGACTGATTTCCCGGCCAGGAGTTGATGAAGCGCTTCGGCGAGAATGAAAAGATTGGTGGGATTGTTCGCTGACCGAATACGTATTATCATTTGACGGTAAAGTATTATAAAGGTAGGGGATTGTTAGTCGACATTATGATTTTCTAGGGGTTCTAAGGATTGCGGATTCATTATTATTATCATCATGATTGTTGCAGTATTATCATTACTACAGGGATGTCCTTTGGCGTCATGATTGAGTTATTCATCTGCCGAAGCCGCCTCGCCGCGAACTAAATAGGGGGATTATAGAGTACGTAGGTAGGCTCCGATTCGTCCAGTGCATGAGATCGATCTTCTGCCATCCAATCGTTAAAGTAAATGAACGCTCGGCATTTCAGACAACATGGAATCATCCTAATTCATAACCGATCTTACCTTGTTCATGTTTGAGCCTCTGCTGTTTCGACACGAGTTGTGGATTCTAACATTACTCTATTCCACAATCTCACGTTTCACCAACCTTGTTGGTCATCGCGCATTCCGGAGCCCCGTCGACCTAGCTTAGACTACCTGTTGGACCTTTACGATAGTGGTGCCAAAGTAGTTGGTGCACCTTATCATTATTGACGCTTCATTCTACCTGTTGTATCCTTCCAAAAAGCCTAAGATAATTCATTGGATCTTAATTATCGCCATGGAGCTTCACATCTCTGAACACGACGAAGCTGGTAGAGCTATAGCAGCCTACGTCTCCTCCGAAAGCAGCGACAGGATCGAATTCATCGTATGCCTAATTGAAACCCTCCCATCTATTGGCCGAGGGCAATAGGCTGACCACGACTTGATTACAAAATCTAGAAGACAAAGGAGCAAAGCAGTCTATGGATGCGGCTACTCGACGTGTTTTTGCCGGCGGGCTATCCTCACAGCGTGACCCGTGATTACATGTGGTACGCATTGCTCTCTCTGCTGTCTTGGAGAGCTGTTGAACGAGGAGTTGAGACCCCCAAAATCTCTGCTTCAAATCTGGGTATAAGCACGGAATAGCGCTTTATTCGTGGTTAGATGTTTCAAAAGCGAGAAGCTGAACATCGCAAAAAGCTCCTCGTTGATGTTGATTTGGTCGGGCTTTTGGGGATTCGTACCCTTTGGACTCCCACTTCATGGTACCTAGCCTAAAACCAACAGATACGGGTTGGCTAACGGCTTCGGGACAGGTACCAGATCTACGTATGATTGCCTTCTCACGATCTCTTGCCATTGCTGTCTGGGCTGTTGTTTATCGTTCTACAGGATTCTCTACAAGCCTTCTCAAGTTCCATTGCCGGACTGCTTGCTTCTAGGGCTGTGCTTCAAGGTGAGACACTCCAAAGCTCCGATCATACGGAATTGATCATTGTCACGTTGGGGGTGTGACAGCGACCAACATGATTTTTAGGCGTCGGAGTCGGTGATGCCTCGGCGTCACCAACATCTGCCCTTCTCCTCTCTGTGGTCCAAGAGAGCATGGGCCGAATAGCAACGATTCTCTTCGCCCACAGGCTCGGTACCTCGCTCGAGCCTGAATGCAAAATGTACAGGCTTGCCGCGGACGTCTTCAATGACACGGCTATGATTTTTGACTGCCTCTCCCTTGCACTGCCTAAAGCGCCAAGGGTAATTTTACTCAGCTTCTCAAGCGGTCTTGAGGGCGTTGTGTGGGGTTGCTGCCGGCAGTTCCAAGGCTAGTTTGAGTGCTCATTTCGCAAAATGGGGCAATCTAGGAGAATTGAACGCAGTGAGTCCGCCATTTTCCTTCCGGGGCGGGTGGCCAGTCATCAAAGGGGAGGGAAGACCATCTCGTGTGTTTACCACCCCCGATTTCGTGCAGCCTTGGCTACGACCTACGGGGTTGCTTGTCGCGCATAGCAGCCAGAACCATCACTAACGGTCAAGCAGAAGGACTCGAGCCAAGAAACCATAATCTCGCTAATGGGGTACGTACATTCCGATGTCATTGCGTCCCAGTTGGCGCCAAAACCCTGATCTCAAGCCAAGCCAAGCCCAGCGGGCAGAACTGGAGGATCTTTTCCTTCTTTGTGCTCCCTGAAACTGTCCTCTGAACTGAAGTCTTGTTTGAAATTGGGTTTGCTGACTCCCAGATTTTCGCAGGATGCTGGTGGGTACAGGTCTGCGCTCTGATCGTGCCGACGGCTACTTACCGACATGTAGGCTGGCAGTATTGTAGTCTCATACGTATCATCTCCAATAGCCACCTGGTCATGTCTCATTGTGCTCCTCTCGATACATTTGGCTATGAATCACGCTGCAGTCAGAGCAGTCAGCTTGCATAGCCTCAACCGCCAGAGAGCCAATATAGTTCTGTCCAACCTGCTGGTGGATAACAAGGTGATGACACCCGAGGAGGTATCGTCTCAAGAACGCATTTTCGAATGGGATGGCGCCCTGCGATGGCGAGGCTCATCACCCTTCGCCAAAGCTACCATAGGTGTCAATTTGCTCAGCCTGCTGAAGACTTTGGCGCCTGCGCACACTGTGACGGGCGCTATACGCGACGGCGATCTTATCTTAGAGAGATTGGTCAGAATTTACAGCCATGAGGATTTTCTAGTATGGTATGATTCGCCCAAGAGGTCAGTATATATTGTTCTCAAAGGTCAAGCTTCGGCCAAAGCACAACTGAAAGCTTGGGCACTAGCACTTTGGGGTGCTCACCGCTTTGGAAAGCAATATGCGACAGGCGCAAATACAGAAAATTTACTTCAGCTGCTCGAAATGACATTGAGGGACATTTCTAACCGATGGGATGATTCCATCGAGCGAATTAGAGCCGCTGGATGGGATATTGACATTGCAAATTTGGAGACTTCATCCGGGTCGCGCATACGTGTCACCACAGAAAGCCTGCAAACAATGTCAAAAAAGAAAGATTGATCAGGGCGCGGATGAGGTAGAAGACATGGACTGGTCTGCGAAGGCAGTCGGCCTCAGTGTATAGCCGCCGACCAGGTAACTGGGTTGGTGGATTAAAGCAGTTTGGCATGAAGCATCAATAAGATCATGGAGATCATGCGGCTCCGATCATAGAACTTATCCTCCTCCCTGATAAAGATCTTATCCGTGCCGGTACTCCGTACACGGGGTCCGTAGCCTGATCAGGACATACGCGACAATGCGTTGGCATGTATAAGCGCAGCCTCAAGTCGAGGCGAGTGAGCCTGGAAGATCTGTGTTGCTGCTGCGAAAAGAAATCTTCCGGAGTCCGGACGTTTCCTCAATCCCCAGGGCTCGAAAGTCGAAATCAATGGATGACGGATGATGTAAGCCAAGAGAAAATTGAAAATGAGGGTGGAGTCATTAGAGGCGCGCGTGCTGAACATGCTACTGAAGGTACATTTATGCGCAACAATTAGATGTCGTCTCCCACGCTGATCATCCGGCCTAGCGACGCCATCTATAACTGGTCGTGGGCTGTGAAAGTGAATAATGCAGCATATTGGCGAACCCTGTAAAGCGGCGGCTTCTGGCCGTAGTATGTCCTCCAATCAAGAGCGATTCCCTTAGGGCTGTCTACACCCGTCACCCCTGTCTTCTTCTGACTCAAGAGAAAGCGTGGGATTTCGACAAATTCTCCGAAACGTTTGGACCAAAGAGGCGATGGGTCGGAGAGGCGTCCCTCTACCTCGTACCAAAGCGAGTATCGGGCGAGTATCACCGTCTCATTCTCAAAGCCATCCACTGTCGCGAATAACAATATCTTTAGCCGAGTCGCACGTCGCTTAGGGTGGCTCGTGCTTCACACTGGAGCGATTCGAGTCATGGATTCTGCCTTTTATTTTCGCTGTTGCCTTACTCACCATTCCTCACTAGCGTCCCATCTAAGTTTGCTTCTCGTCTGTTTGCCGCCGAGGCCCAAGACTTGGAGTCTCGCTAGCAAAGACGGACACGGAAGATTTGGTCTGTTTTTGTCGCATAAGTACGGAGGTGAAGGGGGCATGATGGGGAAGAAGACTTAGAGTAAGGCTTAGTAATTCGAGAAGACAAGCATGTGTGTGATTTGTTGTGATTTGTTATAATTGAAAAATAAGGTTGTTCCACACCCCAAAGAAAAACCTTCTAGCGCTGAATTAGCGTAAATTTTAGTTACTTCCACTTACCTTAGTGAATGTGAACCCTTGCAATTCCTTGCGCCGCCGCTTCCCACTTATTAGCCCTTTCCCCGTTTCTTTTTGGTTCAATAATTTGCTGTATTATTACAGTCATCTGTGTCGCGAGAAGACACTCCTTTCTTTTCACCATTCTCATTCCTCATCCTTGATTTCAACTTCTCTTGTCTGTGTCCACCCTCCTTACCGGTCTCCATAACGAGTAATCCGTGTCTCCTTCACTTCAGCCCTCAGAGTGTGCCGACAAGACAAAAACCCCGCAAGTCACCAATTTCGACGAGTTTGCTTCAAGTCCTGCAGGCTTCCGAACATTCCGTGTGCTTTGGACCTCCTGACTCACCAGGAAAAGAGAAGGGTTAGGCGTGAGAGGAATATTCCGGGTACTCGCTGTGTCTGGCCGAATACATCGAATCGATCAAGCCAATTTTCGTCATCTCACAGAGCAGCAAACTGCAAAAAACAAAACCACAAATCAGACCCAGCACTGAGCTTCCTATACCCGTCTCCCTCCTTTCAATGGTCCACGTAACATTCATCACTCCGAAAAACTTCCTCGAAGACTTCGAGGCCTCGTGTCAAGGTGGCTCGCCCAAACGTGTTATCCTCCTATAGACCGGGCCGAAGCCGCTCACAGAAAAGGAAGGCTTCAGCAAGCGAAAGAACAAGGTCCAAAATTAGGGACTGGAAACGAGCCATGATCCGCAGGAAACCTGAGACACCCCCGTCGTCATATCTCTCCACACCCCCACCAGAAACGTCACCTCGTTGTTCTATCGTCATCTCAGACTGGGACGCCGACGACGAAGACGCCATGTCTATAGAAGACATCAGATCATCTCGACCACCAAGTCTTGAAGCCAGCCTGCAAAATGAAGGGCCCTATCATCCTCAAAGACCAACCCTCCCAGATGTGCTCTCGAATTCCGCTCCACCACCATGGACGCTCAGCGCGTTCACCGCCTACCTCTCGCAAAATCATTGTCTGGAGAATTTGGAGTTTACAATGGATGCCGAACGGTATCGGAAAAGGTACGGTGCCTTGGCTGCACAGATGGCTGGCATGCCCATGACACCTGAGGTGGAAGAATGCCGGTACGTGAGGATGCTATGGCAGCGTTTGATCAACGCCTACATAATGCCAGACTGCCCTCGGGAAATCAACATTCCTAGCAGCGTGCGCGAGAGATTACTTCTACTCCCTAATCATTCAACGCCGCCGCAACCCGAAGATCTGGAGGCTGCAGTCAAGATCATCTACAACCTCATGGAAGAGTCAGTGTTGATCTCTTTCCTGAACGAGGTTCCATCATCCAGATCTCAACAACAGCAGCACCTCAGTCGGCAGAAGCCTGCCGAGGTCAAGCCTCGGAAACGAGGCGGCTCAGATAGCTCAAACGAGAAGAGTTCAATCAGGAGTAGATCTCGAAAACGAACATCTCCGACATCCTCGCTCGATGTCCCTTCGTCAGGGTCTAGAGATGACCCAACTGGTCGTCTGACCCCCATTCCTGGATTCACGAGAGGTAGTCGTGCACCGAGTCACACATCAAATGGTAGCGGAGATCCAGGGCTACTGGACGATGATTCTGCCAGTGTGTCAAGTCCGGGTAGAGAACCAATGACACCACCAAACTCACCTCCTTCGAGCGATTTCGGTGGACACAGTCCCAGAAATCGCAACGATAATACTTGGAAGAAGATGCTAGGATGGAAGAAGAAGTCCAGCACCGGGATGAGAGACGGTCGATTTCCAACCCTTGAAGATTGAGCATTGATGAGGAGCGAGATCTGACATCGATTCCCACCTTTCAACACCACCCACCAACACCATGCGGCGCCTTCATCATTCCCACCTTGGCCGCCAGCGCACCCGTCTCAACTCCTCACGTACCTTTTCTCTGAGTTTAGCGTACAGCGGCAAATTATCTTTTCGTCCTCCACGGACACGGCATATGGAGGATCAACAAAAGGCGTCAGGATTGACCAGTCTCAGGCATTGACGGTTCGCCATCTACACTTCTAGTCCGTTATGTTACAAGCGCGGGCCGCCCATACAAGCATTGCACTGGGCGCGGAGCAGCATAGCATTGCGTCTTCGCATACGATATACCTTTGATTGTCTGCAGCGCTTCGATTGTAGATATTTGAGTTACCATCATGACGATCTTGAACGAAATATAGACATTGGGATATCCAAGCCCATCAACCATTGACTGCCATTCACCGTCATCTCCTATCATTTGCGTACTATCGCCTACTGCGCCGATCTCAACGTCTCGCTGACCGCTCCTATCCTCTAAGAATACTAAAATTTGTGAACCGTGATCCAGTGGCATCTTATGATGGATTTCTATGATGGCATCTTAGTTCCGCTACTCATGCAAGTGCGGGTCGGAGAATTTTCGATCCGCCGTTTTTATTCCAATCTCTCATTGTTACCCCCATGACACCAGGCTGATCCTTAGCCTCCAATCCTTGCCTTTAGGGCAGCGTCACTGCGGCGCCACTGCATTCAAATGCGGGGTTGATGCTCAGATAAGATTTTGGTGGCGAAAACGCATTCACGTCCATGCGGTGAGACATTTGTCTCCAGCATTCTTGATGTTATTCGCACGTCAAACAAAGTGTGCGTTTGCTATCTGTCATATGCGACCCGACGGAGATCACTTTCTGACGGTCGCTTCTACGGGCCTTCTGGAAGATGCAAATGCTGGGGAAGATTATTACGCGCTCCAGTGCGAATGTGCTAACATGCAGCTGTCACGCTCCTGGTACTGACCCGGGCATCTTGACTACCTATAGACCATGGGTCTTAGAGACACTCGGACAAAGCAACTGTACTACTACACGCTGCAACTCGTTGCTGTTACGTGACCTGTGTCAGAGCGAGCTCCTTTTCGGCTCCTTCTTGATCCGAGTGTCCCGGATTCAGTGGATGCTTGCACTTGATTTCCCCACGTTGACCGATGGAAGGATTTCCTGTGAGGAGCGCAAGAAATGCCGACGATGCGGTGGCATTAGAAAAAGAGTCCTCTGCATGTCGAGAGTGGGCTCTTTTCCAACCGTCTTCAATTGCTTGAAAGAAGGAGAATCCTACAGGCGTG